ATCTTAACAATATTTTTTTAAGGTTAAGACTGCTTTCCTGATTCCTACAGCAAAAAAAAAACTTCAAAATGCTGGTGGCAATATTTTAAATAGTGCATCTGGTCGAAAAGAAAGTGAATGACGTCAACTGTTCGAAAATTCGATTCTTGGAAATTAACAAGTGGAAGAAGAAGTTTACAAAGTTGTAATTTATAAAACTCAGCACAATTATATTATTAAAAAATTTAAATGATTTATTATTTTTTTCTCATTCTCAAGAAGTTCTGTAAAAACATAAATTTGAACCTTACGTTTAAGTAAAGCCATGTTAGAACACGTATTTTAGACGTCGAAATAAGAACGTCTAAATTAGGTTATTTAAAGACGTCATTCGGCGTTTCCATTTAGCACTAGTCCTAAATTCACTTCTTTTAGACGTCTCAAAACACGTCTTTATTATGTCCTAAAAAGACGTCATAATTACGTCTTAAAAAAACGTCATCTGGCGTTGCCATTTAGAACCAGTTCTGGACGTCCTAAAAGACGTCCTTTCGACGTCATATGGACGTTTCCGTGCCCGCTGGGATGAACAACATTGACAATGTTACGAAACTTCCGTACTCACCGGATGAACTTCAATATAAAATATCAACACTTCATGCATGGATAAGATTTTTTGAGTATCTCATTTATATTTCATATAAGATACCAATAAAAAAATGGTAAGCAAGAGAAGACGAAGAGAAATCTCTTGTTAAAGAGCAAAAAATAAAAATACAACAAAAATTTCAACACAAATTGGGACTTATTGTTGACTACCCAAAATGTGGAGTATCTGAAAACTCAAATGACGGCAATACTGTTCAAAAAGCTTTTTCAAATGAAGACTTGTTTGCTGATATTACAGGAATAAATAAGAAGCTAATTGTATAGTTGCATATAATCCTAATTTGTATATCAAGTGGATTTTAAATAGATAGTAGTAAGTTTCGCTTACTTTGTCTGGAGACCGCAAAACTCTACTCATGCTTGTACCATTGGTATTATATGCCTCAAAGTCTTCACGAGATCTCTAACCCTGATAGAAAACTTGTACTTACCAATAGGCCTTTTTAGTGAAGAAGCTCAAGAAGCTAGAAATAAAGAGTTTAGAAAATATAGGGAAACATCATTCCTGTAAAAATTCAGAAACAAAAACAAACGAAGATGTATGAAAAGACTTTTATGTATATCTGATCCATTTATTTCATGTTATTCAAAAACTGTTTTATCTGTAAAAAAAATTTCCTTCGGGTGATGTTGAACTTCTTATTTGTGAGAATTCTACCTTCTAGATTATAGATATATCTAGTTTGTAATTTTTAATTGTAATTAAACTAAAAAATAAACTTTTTTAGCAATATATATGAGGTTGATTTTTATTTTATATGGTTTGTTTAATTAGTTAATAACAGTTCTAATAAAAAAAAATTAAAATTAATTTTGGCACAAAAAACGCGATTTTATTCCACTGTGCTCTGGTTCTTGAGATATAAATCAATTCCTTCGACAAGATAAACTTAATTTGCCTTACAACACGCATAGCAACAGATTGATACAACTCAGCAAAAAAATTGATACAACTCAGCATAATATAAATAAAACTGTTGGTTATTGAATTATTGATATTGAAATTTTGTCTGGTGTAATTAATCAACTATGTTGCAAAAAATGTTTACAATCAAAATTAAATCTTTCAGAAACTCTTTCCGGAAGAAAAGGGATTGTTAAATATTTGCTGCTCTAACTGCAATGAAAAAATTAAACTTTATACTTCAAAGACATGTTCTGGGAAAAAAACCTTTGATGAAAATAATAGGATAGTTTCTTCAATACGTGCATGGGATCAAGGTTTTTAGGATTAGGAAACTTTACATCTTTAATGAACATTCCTAAACCTAAGACTAAAAATAATTACAACAAAATAATTAAATCTGCCTCTGATTGTGCTAAAATTGTTGCAAAAGAAACAACGATTGATGCTGTGAAAGTAATTTGTCAAGCTTTTTTAAATATTGTTGACAATGCAGTATGAGTTGATGGTAGCTGGCAACGTTGTGGGTTTTCTTCATTAAATGGAGTTGTTACGGCAATATCAATGGACATAGGTAAAATTCTTGATGGCGAGCCGATGAGTTGGTCATGCAAAGCATGTAGTCTAAAACTAAAACTTAAAGAAAATAATCCTTGCGCATTTGAAACTTGAAAGCCATCACTTGTATGGAAGTTATCACATGTATGACACTTTGTAACTGGCATGGAAGTAATTGGTGCACAAAGAATATTTAGTCGTTTTATTTCACAAAATAAACTAGGTATGTTATATATTAAGGTATGTTATATATATAAGGTATGTTATATATGATGGTGATTGTAAAATCTATTCTTATGTTAAGGATAGCTTTTACAATACAAGGATGTTAAGTGTGTAAGTTGGAGTGTGTTGGACATGTACAGAAACGAGTTGGTAGTAGAATAAGAGCTTTGAAAAAAGCCATTAAAGAAATTTGAGGTATAAGGAAATTAAGGAATGCTATAATTGACCGCCTACAAAACTATTATGGATTGCCAATAATTTAGAAGATATAAAAAAAGCTATATTTGCAACATTATTTCATGTTGCATCATCAGCTGAAAATAAATATCATACTTATTGCCTTGATGGTATACATAGCTGGTGTCATTACAAACAGGACAAAGCTAGTTCAACATCTACTAACCAGGTGCTGCTCTTCCAATCTCAGTCTTCAGTCATCTAAAGCCTGTATATATCGATCTATCTGAAGAAGACCTCTTTAAAAAATGCCTTCATGGTAAGACGCACAACCAGAATGAAAGTTTTAATTGGATGATATGGCAGAGCATACCTAAAACAAAATATGTATTGTTAATGCAGTTGGAATTAGGTGATTATGATGCTGTTTTAAATTTTAATATTGGAAGCACCTGCTATATATACTCTTCAAGGCTGTTCAACCAGGAACAAAAAGCGTTTAATTTTTACAGAGTATCAAATTCGACCAACATCTAAAAAGCGACGTCAAGTTATTCGTCAATGCAAAAAAAAAAAAGATGACTCAGAGAATGATCAAGAAGGTTGTCTATATGATCCTGGTTCTTGTTCTTATAAATAACAGATTTTTAATTGAGTATTTGACATTTTTATTTGTTAAAATTGTTAATGTAATATTTAAATGCTTCTTTCTCAAATTGTCAGTATTTAACCTCCGGCCATCCTATTATGAAGTTATGAAGTTGTTACTAAGGATATACTTAGTTTTTTGTAAAAAATACTTACAAAAAGAGTTTTTTTTTGAGGGATCTTATACCTTAACAAAACTTAAAAACAAATATATAATTACAACTACTCATCATTGATGTAAATATACTTAAAAGTTTACAATTTATAATACTACTTTATTTTATAGATTTGGTACTCTTCAAAAAACTCTAAAATTTTTGGGATTGTTTCAGTTGCCTATATCATTTTATGATTGATTATGATATGGCAGTATAAAATAGACAAAAATACACGACACTTTAAATAATTCATAGATTAAGAAAACTTAAAAAATGTTATTTTGATTTTTTTAATTTTTTAAAAAACTTAAAAAATGTTATTTTAATTTTTTAAACTTTAAAAAGTTTTTTGAAAATAAAAAACTTTTTAAAATTTTTTATTTTTAAACTTTTTAATTTTTTTAACTTTGCACTTAGTTCTTCTGTTTATTTAATGTTTTTCGTCACTTTTTATTCTTTAATATTTTCATTGTTTTCCCTTTATTTTTTTATTTTTTTTCCAAATCTTATTTTCTAAACAATTTTTATATGTTTTTCTTTTGCTCATTATCTATTTTTCACCTTTTCGCTGTTAAAAAAAATGCTTTCTCCTTTTGCGATGTCATTGTAAAGAGTGTATGATAGTATGGTAGTATCATTGATAGAAATAGGCTGTAGAAGTTTAAAATTATTATCTACTGTAATGGAAATTCTACATGCTTTAAATGACAAAACTTTTAAAACTCAGCTATTAGTTAAGTTGGAATAATAGTATGGATCTTATTATACATGTTAGTATGGATCTTATTATCAAAGATGACTAAGAACGAACACTAAGAAAAACATAAGTTTCAGAAAAATTAAATAGGTAGCTGCAAAAAAAACATAATAGCTTAATTGAGCGCTGTATTTTAAAAATGTGACAAGTCACAAAATTAAAATTTTACAAGAGAATGAAAAATATTTCTCCTGTAAAAAACTTTATTTTTATTTTATCTAAAAATTGTTTCTTTTATCCAAAAAAATCTTTATTTTATCTTATAATTTTATCTTTTCCTAAAAAAAAAATATTCTTTTCATATAACCTCACTTTTATAAAAAGTGTGGTTATTTGAAATATAAAGTTGCCCAATAGTTGTAAATAATTTTTTTTTACATATTTTAATTCTGAATTTTAATAATACAGTTTTAAAAAATAATATCATCTATAAAAATATTGTATTACTTTCGTCTATTATATAAATTTAAATAAACGTTTATATAATGAATAATAATGAAGCACCAGCAACTGTTAAAACTTTAAACTGATATGAATACTCAGTTGTTTTTTTGAACAGTTGAATTCAAATAGATTTCAAAGCTGGTGACATCAACTTTGAAATCCAACAAAAAATTTTTGTTATGTTAAATCAACTAGAAAACCTGGCCAGTTTTTCTGTGGTCAGTATTAGAGAGCGATCGCTCTCGCTTCCCGACCAAGCTTTGATTTGTTGATTATTATAAAATAAAATGTTAATAACACTCTGAATTTTTGACCATAATATATGAATAAGTTTTTAAAGTTGTAAAAGCTAAAGCTATGAATAAAGATTTTCAATCATCAAGATTGAAAGTTTTTATATAAAAGGCTTTATGTGATTGCCTTTTGATGATTGAAAATCATCAAAAGGCAATCACATAAAGCCTTTTATATAAAAACTTACCATTTAATAAATTTGTTCATTCAACTTCTCAGAGCAAACATTAAACTTCTGTAAAGAGTTTGGAGTTACAGGTAAATCCCAAAGTTTAATAACATTTTTTGTTTTATTATAAGAAAATGAGGTTAAATCATCTACACCAAGATATACTTATTTTTTTGTCACTTTAATCTTTATTTTGACTGGTCATTTTCACTGTCTTCCTTTTTTGTCTCCAGAGCAGAAATTTAGCCTTATGCTAAATTCAACCTTGTGTTGCTTTAAAAATCTATAAATCAAATCATTAATAATTAAGTTATAACTAAAGTTAATGAGTAAGCTTAAAGTTGTTAATTGTTGTACGCAAACTAAATATAAAAAATATCCAAAATTGTTAAATATACATAAGTAGACTATAACTTCTAGTAACATCACTTTTTGTACACTGATTTAATATGTTAGTAGATGAGATTTTATAATCAAACACAGAAAAAAATCAAACAAAAGAAACATATGTAAAATGTAAAATATCAGCTTCTAACAACTTCAATGGCATTGAAGTTGACATTGGCATTGACAATGCCACATATATATTATTGATACCTTTAATAATATATCTTATAATAGCTATATAATCTAAACTATTATAAATAAATCATTAAAAAAAAAACTTATACTGCATGACATTCAAATGTTTGATTTATTTAATAAAGAAGACATTTAAAATGTCTTCTTTATTAAATAAATCGAACATTTGAAATGTTTCATTAATTTAATAAAGAATATTAAATAAATCAAACATTTGAAATGCCAATAGAGTAATAAAAATAAAATAATAATTTTAAGATCTTACACAAAAATAATTTAATTATTGCCTTTATTATTACATTAATAATTTAGATTGTAGTAAAAAATGTTTTAAGCATATTATTTAAATGTTAACAAATATTTTATTATTTAAAAAAAACAAAACTTCAAGTCACGAGAATCTCTTGAAGTTTATTTCTTCTAAGGAAGCTTTTAAGATTCTTAGAAGATTAATAAATATAGCTTCTTATTTTTATAATTAAAAAAAAAAATGATAACAAAACCTTTTTTTACTCTGTCAAACGATACCATTTTTATAAATGTTTCAAAAGTATATATTAATCCGCAACTACATTGGACGAATATTGGCTACGGTATAAATGTAGGAACAGATTTTTATAGCAAGCCTAAACTACATTGGCCAAATAATGGCCCAACTTAGTACGATAATTGCAAAAAACCGATTTGTAGAACTGCAATATTACGCCGAAAAAAAAAACATTGGCTAAATGTTGGCCCAATATTGTACGATATTTGCAAAAATCCGATTTGCAAAATTGAAAATAATACGCCGAAAAAAAACATTGGCTAAATGTTGGCCCAACGGATTAAACTTGCCAATGTTAAAACTTACATTGGGCCAATGTAAGCTTGCTGTCTGGGTTAGGTCACATTTTATTTTATAGTGCTATATACATACAAACTCTAAAATTGTCTATAATTCCCGTCTTGGTTGTTATTCAAAGGTAGTACAGTAGTGGTAGACCCAGCCGGCATCATTACGTTGTTTCAACGTTGAAATTCGGTTGAAGCGTTGTTTCAACGTTGTTCAACTATGTCACAACGTTATATCAACGTTACGGTTTAAACGTTGATTATTTAACGTTATTTCAACGTTAAATCATTGTTGATAAAAAATACAATAACTTTTTTCACTGTTTCGATAAAAAATTTATGCGCGCGCAGAAATGGAAGTAAAAACATAAACATTATTTCAACGGTTTAAGTTATAAAGATTTATAATAGAAAAAAATGTAAATACTGAACTTATGACAATTAAAATTTTCAAGAGATCGAAAACATGTTCAGACGATTTTCCTGAAAAAGAATTATCATTTAAAAACCGATAATTTTCGTTTAACTTGGGCTTCAATGCCTAGAGATTTAAATTATAAAATGTAAATAATACAACTTTTTCAAAAAAAGATCCATTAAATTATGTTGAATTTAATGTTAAGCGTTGTTTTATAAAAGACCATCAAGAATTAAAAAAGAAATGATAACTTTAAAAATGATAGATCTTGCGAGTTTTATACTGGCCTTATCTCTGTCAATATGTTTCATCATTTAGTGCAGTATCACCATTAATCAAAAGAAGATAAAGTGATATTACAAAAACATCTACTTCTGATTTTTGAAATTTAAAAAAATCCTTAACTACTTGGACCAAAATAAATGTAATGCAGCAAAAATGAATTTTTAACGATGCTAATACTTGAATTACTGACAGCTGATCTTGCTGAAAGGTTTAATATATTTTTAGAATTATCGAATGCAATATTTTCTTCATGATTGAAAGCTTCAAGCTCACTTTTAAAGCACATGGTTTTTGTTCCAAGTAAAGGTGTTATAAGATAGGCAATGCAAACAAATTTTAGAAATTAAAATAATTTAAACTTACACTAAATTTCAGATATAACAGAGTTTATTATGGAAACACCTAAAAAATTTTGACTTACAGAAACTAACAGGGAATGAATACAAACATTACAACAATATAAAATCATTAGTACCCATAGCTCAAAATTCATCAAGAAGTTCTTTAAAAAATTTCTTAAGCTTACAGAAGCTAAATTTCGCATAAAGAAATTACAAATTGCTACAATTATTTATTGTATAAAATTGTATAAACAATTAATTATTGTATAAAATTACTCTTGTATAATGTATGATTGAGGCTTTAATATCAATTTTTTTAATACAAATGAAGTTATTTTAATTAAATTCATTTTTATCATTCACTTAAAAAATATAATGAGTATTTGAATAACGATAACTAAAATTTCAAACAATAATATTAGCTTTGCATGTTTTTTTTTTAAGCGAATCAATTGCAGTTGATGGAATATCTTTAAAAGACAGAATTCACAAAATAATGCTGAGGTAATCAAAATAACTTTTAATTATTAAGGAATTATAAGGATTAAATAATTTTGCAAAAAAATTGTTTAATAATGAGTTTAACTTGAATAAAAAAAAAAAATTAATATTAGTTCTCGCATAATTAATATCAGTTCTCTTATCTATTAAAATTTAGAATATTTTCCAACAATTTTGTGATCTCCATAAGTATGAAGGGGAAAGGTGGAAATATGCATTAAGAGCACTAATTTATATGGTGTAGTGAAAGGTATACCTTTATAGGATATGTAAAACTTTTTTATTCTCATTTATTATATATTCAAAAATTTCTCCTTATGTTTTTTTTTTCTAATTCTTTTTTATTAACAGCTTCTTTTATTAAATACTAGGAGTGACTGAACCTGTAATTGATAGCATTTTGTCCAACTTCTTAAATTGTGCTCCATTTTAAAAAGGTAGCGGAAAAGAAAAAAATTTAGATTGATATGAATTTATATTTATAAAAATCAATCTAAAATTTCTTTATTGAAATATTTACATATATTTCAATAAAGAAATATTTGTCTGCTAATATTTTTTTTTTCAGTGTTAATTCAACATTAAAAATAAAAACTTTTTAATTTGTAATGTTGAATTCGATTCTTTTATTATTTTTCTTTGTTATTGAGCCTTAAATTATTTGAACATAATATATTCAGAACTCTGCTGAATAATAGAGCCATAAATAAATTAATAAAATAAATTTAAGATATATGAAATTAAGAAAACAAAATAAATCATACTTTTGCTAATAATATCTACTAATATTATTGTTTAGTAAGTATCATGGTTATAAAATGTTCAGATTGAGCTAGTTTAATAGGCCTGTTAGTACACTTATATTATGGTTTCTTCATTTTGTTATTAGTTCATGTAATATTTTTAAAATAGAATATGTGGAAAGGAGCTCTTTGGAATAAAGATTTACAAGAAGAAGTAATTCAATCTAATTGGATTAGTAATAAAACTGTTTGTTAGCTTCCAGGTACCAAAGCATTGACTGCATTAAAATGCAGAGAATAATTGGCTTAAGTTTATACAAATAAAAATTAAATTCTCTTCAGATATTACATCTATATATTGCAATTATTATTTTATAACTATTTTAATTCCAAAAGAAATTAAACAGTATTGTGAAAATTTTAAATTCACAACTACAAAATAATTTTTTTTTTCTTGTATGTATTTAGGTGCTCCCAGAAGTCCTTACGGTCTTATCATAGAGCACCGCGGAAGAGCATTTAACAGGAAATGCACACCTCCTTCCGTACCAATGTCGCTTGTTGGGCTAGAGCTAGCGTCGAACCTGGGACCTCTGGGTTCTGAGCCACAACTCTAACCACTGCGCCACGGCTGCTCAAATGAGAATCTTGACAAGTGGATGCAAGATTTGCACACAAGCGGAAACTTGGATGCAAATTTTCTATTTGTGTGTGTTTTGGATGCTTTTCCACAATATAATATATCCACAAGCATAATATTAGATTTAATTTATGTTTTTTATAGATAAATCAATTACAGTTAATTGGTAGAGCGTCTTCTAAAAATAGAATACACAAAATTATGTTGAGGTAATCAAAAACAGTATTGGACTCTTACCTCATTCATAATCAGGGTGTCAGCAGCTCCTCCAAAACTGTCTAAAGTCCTCTTTTTTTAAAACCACTCCTAAAATCCTCTATTATCCTCTAATTAGTTTTTGATGGAATTATAATATTCAAAATACCCATTCTTGGTTTGCAAAACTGATTAACGCCTTAAAGTGCATGGAATTGTAAAAAATTCCTTTTGCAAATGCATGCTATTTAACATAAAAAAAGACTTTTTTTTATCCCTGTCCATAAGAGTATAGACATAAACGTTAAACTGTTAATAAATGGCCAAAAAAATTTGTTATAAAAATTTTATGTGCCTACCCTGAAAATTATTTTTTAATGCAAGAAATGTTTTATATTTTAATTATTATTAATAAATTTTGAAAAAAGAATGTTTTATTTGAATTAAATATTTGAAAAAGTTATTAATAACTAACTAACAGTTATATTATTTTTTAAAAACTCAGAGTATTTTTGAAAA